GAGATGAGAGGGGTCATTGCAATGAAGGGAGTCAGTTTGATGAAAGGAGTCAGTGAGATGAGGGGAAGTGGTGAGATGAGGGAAGGTGGTGTAATGCAACGAGTTGGTGAAGTGAGAGGAATCAGTGAAATGGAAAGTGGGAAACGGGCTGGTGAAATAAGAAGAATTGGTGAAATAAGAGAAGTCAATGAAATCAGAGTTGCAGGAAGAACTGGTGAGATGAGAGGAGCCAGTGAAGTGCGGGATGGGAAAAGGAGGTTTGGTGAAATGAGAGGAGTCAGTGAGGTGAGGGGAGTCGGAGAAATAAGTGGAGTTATTGTGACGAGGAGCATCGGTGAGATGAGAGGAAGCAGTGAGATGAGAAGGATCAATGAGATGAGAAGCGTTAGTGAAATGAGAGGATATGGTGAGATGAGAGGAAGCGGTGAGATGAGGGAGATTGGTAAGAATAGAGGCATCAATGAAATGAGGGGAGGTGGTGAGATGAGAGCAGTCAGTGAGATTAGGGGAAGTGGTGAGATGAAAGGAGTCATTGAGATGCGAAGAAGTGTAGAGTTGCAAAGTGGTGGTGAGATGAGAGGAGTTGGTGAAATGAGAGGAGGTGATGAGTTGAGAGGAGTCGGTGAGATGATGGGAGCTGGTGAAATAAAAGCTGGAGAATTGAGACGAGTTGGCAAAATGGGAACTTGTGAAGTGGGAGGTGGAGAAATTATTACTACATGCCTTTCTCTGTTTACTAAATATATGCTTACATATGAGCAAATTTATAGCCTCTTCGATGTCATCCCAGGACTGGAATATTGTGAAATTCAGAATGACCCGAACATGGGTTATGCTGTTGTTCGGTACAACAACGTGGCTTCAGCAGTACATGCCAAAGAAAAACTGAATGGATTTGAGTATCCACCTGGTAACCAATTGAGACTCAATTACATCGAAGATGCCCTTGGTGACAAGCAATCAAACCCAGTTGGATTGATGGCCTTGCAACTTGTGGCAGCTCAAATGTTGTCAGTAGCTTGTAACAGTCCTGTTGGACATCAGATAGACCCTCCTTCATCTGGTTTCAGAGGAAGCACTTATATTCCAATATCTCAGTTGCAGGTTGACTTCACTGTACCTACATCTCAAAATGTTCATCCTCCAAGAGAAGAGTCAGTCAAACGCCAAAAAACACACTAAAAAGTTCCAGAAAAGATTTTGCAGAAAGAGGGGATATATCAGCTGCCTATCTGACCAACTTAAGAGTATCCATTAAACTTTATTATAACTCTTTCTAGCAACTGAACAGTTTACTTATGTTGAAATGGACAACAAAAGAAGGTTTTAACTGAACTTGGTTTACAATGTTTAAGATATAAAATTTCAAAGTCTATAGCTTGTAGAAACATGCTTGAACCTATGTAATCCTTGCATTACCAGCCCTCATTGTGTAGTCTTACATAATTTGTATGGAACAAAATAAAAATTGCTTGTGAAATGTTCTGGTTTTATATACCTGCTGAATGACTTTATTCCATGATATTATAGTTATGGTACAAGGTAAATTAAGCCCTAATTTCAATATGCCAACCATAATTGAGTTGTACCAGGAAGTACACAAGGCAACAAACTATAGTTAGGTTTAATCTTATTGGCCAAATAAGACTGCAGCCAATCTCATGCTGGGGTCTTGGATTTTACGAGGACTTAAGGGAGGCTGCGGTGGTGGCTTGTTGGTAATGTCACTTGTTAATTCAGAGCCCCAAGCTAATACTCTGGGAACAATGGTTCAAATTCTGCGATGACAGTGGTGAAATTTGAATTCAGAAAAATCTGAAATGAGAAACTAGTCCAATGATGTCTGTAAAACAATTGTTGATTGTTGTAAAAACCCATCTGGTTCACTGATGTCCTTTGGGGAAGGAAATCTGCCATCCTTACCCAGTGTGGCCTACACGTAGCTCCAAATCCACAGCAATGTAGTTGACTCTTAACTGTCCTCTGAAATGGCCAAATGAGCCAATCAATTCAAGATGCTTAGAATCGGGCAACAAATACAATCCCCTTGCAAGAATAAAGACAAAAAGTGGCCACATTATCTGGCAAAAGTTAACAGGACTGCCTTCTGATGCAGGAAATCAAGTACAAATGAGTTATATTTTAAATGATTTTCAAGGATCCCAATGATTAACAGGACACATGGAAAAACAAAACCATTTTAGAATTACATACAAAATTAATTGAAGCTAAATATATTTAATTCACAAGAGAACAGGGATAAATGTCACATGCATGATGACAAAAACAGCCGTAACATTAGCGAAGGGATTTTTGGGTAAGATGTTGGTGTGTAATTGTGGCAGCAGTAGTAAAGTATTTTTCAGATAATGGTAGAAGTAAATTAAGAATAGTATAGGGCCAAGCACAAAAGAGACGGTAGGACTGATTTCCCCAGAATGGCATAGCTGCTGAGTGACTATCTTGCATCAATGTTCCAGATTTCTTTTGTGGGGATATTGATATATCAAATTAGATATAAATGACATTTTGGATAAATGCGGAATGCTTAAAAATAATAAGGCTTCAGGTGAGTTCATTAATATCTGCCCGAGTGAGATAAATGAGATGGGACAGGTGTTCAGTGAATTCCCCCTTATCTTCAAAAGCTCAGTAGGGTTATGAATAGTTCTCTTAGGCTGAAAGTTGGTTTATAATGCCTATTTTAAAAAAAGGAGGGACAAATCAGAGTCATAGAGCCACATACCTATTGTTACATCTATTAGTGAGAAGATGCAATAAGGGATCATGTAAGACATAGGTACAAAGTAGGCCATTTGGCCCATCGAGTCTGCTGCACTATTAAATGAAATCATGGCTGATTTAATAACATATGAGGTTTCTATTTTGGTTGGAGCAGAAAGGCAACTTATTATCTAAATGGAGAGAAACTTCTGAGTGCTTTGCTGCAGAGGGATCAGGGTGATTTAATGCATGAATTGCAGTAAACTAGGCATCTGCTACAGCAGGTAATAAGGCAAATGGAATTTTGGTAGTTATTTTTAAAGGAATAGAGTATAAAAGTAGGGAAGTGTTGCTTCAACTGTGCAAAGCATTAGTGAGACTACATCTGGAGCATTGTGTACCATTTTGGCCCCCTGACTTGAGGAGGAATATAGTTGCATGGGAGGCAGTTCAGAGATTGAGCAATTTTGGCCTGTACTCTGGAGTTCAGAAGAATAAGCAGAGATCGAATTGAGGTACATACGATGCTAAAGGGAATTGACAAAGTAGACATAGGACAGATGTTTACTCATGGGAGGCACTCTAGAATGAGATATCATAGTTTTAGGATAAGGGGTGGCAGATTTAAAACAGAGATGAAGAAAAATTGCTTTTCTCAAAGGGTTGTGAATCTGTGGACTTCACTACCCCAAACTTATGTGGATGCTGGGACACTGAGTAAATTTAAGGAGGACATAAACAGACTTTTAATTAGTCATGGGTTGAAGGGTTATGGAGAACAGGCAGGAAAGACGAGACTGAGGAGATATCAACCATGATTATATCAAATGGCAGAGCAGGCTCAAGGGGCTGGACTAAGATAACAAGGTGTAGAGCTGGATGAACACAGCAGGCCAAGCAGCATCAGAGGAGCAGGAAAGCTGACGTTTCGGGCCTGGACCCTTCTTCAGAAATGGGGGAGGGGAAGGAGGTTCTGAAATAAATAGGGAGAGAGGGAGAGGTGGATAGAAGATGGATAGAGGCGAAGATAAATGAAGAGCAGACAGACAAGTCAAAGAGGTGGGGATGGAGCCAGTAAAGGTGAGTGTAGGTGGGGAGTTAGGGAGGGAATAGGTCAGTCCAGGGAGGACGGACAGGTCAAGGGAGTGGGATGAGGCTGGTAGGTAGGAGATGGGGGTGGGGCTTGAGGTGGGAGGAGGGGATAGGTGGGAGGAAGGACAGGTTAGGGAGGCGGGGACAAGCTGGGCTGGTTTTGGGATGCGGTAGGGGGAGGGGAGATTTTGAAGCTTGTGAAGTCCACATTGATACCATTGGGCTGCAGGGTTCCCAAGCGGAATATGAGGTGCTGTTCCTGCAACCTTCGGGTGGCATCGTTGTGGCACTGCAGGAGGCCCAGGATGGACATGTCGTCTGAGGAATGGGAGGGGGAGTTGAAATGGTTCGCGACTGGGAGGTGCAGTTGTTTATTGCGAACCGAGCATAGGTGTTCTGCAAAGCGGTCCCCAAGCCTCCGCTTGGTTTCCCCGATGTAGTGGAGGCCACAATGGGAACAGCGGATGCAGTATACCACATTAGCAGATGTGCAGGTGAGCATCTGCTTGATGTGGAAAGTCTTCTTGGGGCCTGGGATGGGGGTGAGGGGGGAGGTGTAGGGGCAGGTGTAGCACTTCCTGCGATTGCAGGGAAAAGTGCCGGCTGTGGTGGGGCTGGGGGGGAGTGTGGAGCGGACAAGGGAGTCACGGAGAGAGTGGTCCCTCCGGAAAGCAGATAAGGGTGGGGAGGGAAAAATGTCTTTGGTGGTGGGGTCGGATTGCAGATGGCGGAAGTGTCGGAGGATGATGCGTTGGATCCGGAGGTCGGTGGGGTGGTACGTGAGGATGAGGGGGATTCTGTTGTGGTTGTTATTGTGGGGAGGGGGTGTGAGGGATGAGTTGCGGGAGACACGGTCAAGGGCGTTCTCGACCACTGAGGGGGGGAAGTTGATGTCCTTGAAAAACGAGGACATCTGAGATGTACGGGAGTGGAATGCCTCATCCTGGGAGCAGATGCAGTGGAGGCAAACGAATTGGGAATAAGGGATAGCATTTTTGTATTCTAGGTATTCTAGATAGCTGTGGGAGTCGATGGGCTTGAAATGGATATCGGTTTCTAGGTGGTTGCCAGAGATGAAAACAGAGAGATCCAGGAAGGAGAGAGAGGTATTAGAGATGGTCCAGGTGAACTTAAGGTTGGGGTGGAAGGTGTTGGTGAAGTGGATGAACTGTTCGAGCTCCTCGTGGGAGCACGAGGTGGTGCCGATACAGTCATCAATGTAATGGAGGAAGAGGTGGGGTTTAGGGCCAGTGTAGGTATGGAAGAGGGATTGTTCCACGTAACCTACAAAGAGGCAGGCATAGCTTGGGCCCATGCGGGTACCCATGGCCACCCTTTTTGTCTGTAGAAAGTGGGAGGAATTGAAAGAGAAGTTGTTGAGGGTGAGGATGAGTTCGGCTAAGCGGATGAGGGTGTCAGTGGAGGGGGACTGGTCAGGCCTGTGGGACAGGAAGAAGCGGAGGGCCTTTAGGCCATCTGTATGGGGAATGCAGGTGTATAGGGACTGGACGTCCGTGGTAAAGATGAGGTGTTGGGGACCAGGGAATTGGAAGTTCTGGAGGAGGTGGAGGGCGTGGGTGGTGTCATGGACGTAGGTAGGGAGTTCCTGGATCGAGGGGGAGAAAATGGAGTCCGGATAGTTGGAGATAAGTTTGGTGGGGCAGGATCAGGTAGAGACAATGGGTCGACCAGGGCAGTCAGGTTTGTGGATTTTCGGAAGGAGATAGAAGCGGGTGGTGCGGGGTTGGGGAATGATGAGGTTGGAGGCTGTGGGTGGGAGATCACCTGAGGTGATGAGGTTGTGGATGGTTTGGGAGATGATGGTTTGGTGCTTGGGGGTGGGGTCATGATCATGGGGGCGGTAGGAGGAGGTGTCGGAGAGTTGGCGCCTGGCCTCGGCGATGTAGAGGTCAGTGCGCCATACTACAACTGTGCCTCCCTTGTCCGCGGGTTATATGGTGAGGTTGGGATTGGAGTGGAGGGCTGCATGTTCTGCGGGGGAAAGGTTGGAGTGGATGAGAGGGGTGGAGAGGTTGAGGCGATTGATGTCTCGACGGCAGTTGGAGATGAAGAGGTCGAGGAAGGGTAGGAGGCCTTGGGGTGGTGTCCAGGAGGAGGGGGTGTGTTGGAGGTGGGAGAAGGGGTCAGTAGAGGGAATGTTCTGAATGTAGACATTGTCACGGTTGGGGCCAAATTGAGAAGGCCTAAATGTGGACTGTAGTCCATTGGGGATGATCTGGTTCTGTAGGCAGGTACTAAGAAAGGTGATGTGGCTGTAGTACCTGGTTTGCTTCAGGACATGGTCGAGCAATGTTCTGAATATAGATATTGTCATGGCTGGGGCCAAATTGGGAAGGCCTGAATGT